TTCCTTCAAAGGTGTTGTAATAGACCCCTAGTACTCTTAATTTATAAAGTAATAATAATAAATGTGAATGATTGAGCTCATTAGTGGCCTGACTGGCCATCCTAATTTGGTCTAAAGAAAGTCAATGATCATGTGAAGGGGTGTCCAGCCCATATCAATAATATACCAAAATACAGGCTAATGTGAGATTCAGAAATTAGTTTTAAAAATCATGTTTACTTTTCATGTTATAGTATGCCTACCTTACATGAACCTGTTTGAAACCTTAATGACCCCATGATGTGATTATTTATATCTTAAAACCTTTAACAACTATATTTAGATGTTCATAATATCTACATTTATGTATAAATACATGTGTAGCAGTTAGACAAACATTAATAGATGATCTTATTATTACCTATTTTATATGTACTAAAAAATAAAGTTTACTAAGCCCCCTTTTTGTTTAAATGTATTAGACAAAATGATTTGTGCTTAAAGTCATATACTGTTGTGTTTCAAACGGATAGACTAGATTATTAATTAATTTGCCTAATAGTTGCTTAAAATGCTACAATAACATTTGCAATTCGTTTTTAATCTGCCATGTACGGTATCAATGTCTCTCAGCCACCGTCGTGTCGTGTAGGGGGCGTGTCGTGTACTTGCTGCGGCTGCAGCTAGACCATGGGTGTTTCTCAATCGCGAGTACGCTTGCTTGGTAGCACATGTCTGCCGAGCATCTTGCTTCAGAAGCGAGGCAAGAATACTTCCTGGCATTCGGAAAACAAAGATTGGAACAGGCTAGCAAGTGTGCAGGTGTGCGTCATATGAGAGGCCCCGCCTTACATTTTCCGTCACAGATTTGGGGAAATTGGTCCGTGCGCAAAGCATTGTGGGGATTTTAAGACCGCAGAGTCTACTCATGTGCAGCCTCGATATTTCTCCAAACGGAGTACGCCGGGCTCGGTAGATTTCCAAGTATGCTGGAGATTGGAACAGTACTTCGGCGGCACTCGATGACGTAGTATGCTTGAAATAGTGGCTCTGCAGCAGCTTTACTCGCGATTGAGAAACACCCCATATTGGCTTGGTCAGACCGTTCTTATTATACATCCATGGTCAGACCACGTTATCCCCAAGATGGCGCCACACGGGGAAAGCTAAGCTAATACGCACACACATTCATACTCTTTTAAACATGTAAACAGCGCTACAAACACTCCACACTTTTAGTGGGCCGTCACACCATATACGCAAACATTATGGGGGGGTTCATATGATTACTGCACCTTTTACCAACCTGTAATGAGCAGGTGAGACAGGTGCAATGAGGACACGGGTTATTTGGGGTGTTTCTCAATCGCGAGTACGCTTGCTTGGTAGCACATGTCTGCCGAGCATCTTGCTTCAGAAGCGAGACAAGAATACTTCCTGCCATTCGGAAAACAAAGGCCGTTTCTCAATCGCGAGTAAAGCTGCTTCAGACCCACTATTTCAAGCATGCTACGTCATCGAGTGCCGCCGAAGTACTGTTCCAATCTCCAGCATACTTGGAAATCTACCGAGCCCGGCATACTCCGTTTGGAGAAATATCGAGGCTGCACATGAGTAGACTCCGCGGTCTTAAAATCCCCACAATGCTTTGCGCACGGACCAATTTCCCCAAATCTGTGGCGGAAGATGTAAGGCGGCGCCTCTCATATGACGCACACCTGCACACTTGCTAGCCTGTTCCACTCTTTGTTTTCCGAATGCAAGGAAGTATTCTTGACTCGCTTCTGAAGCAAGATGCTCGGCAGACATGTGCTACCAAGCAAGCGTACTCGCGATTGAGAAACACCCAAAGAGTGGAACAGGCTAGCAGGTGTGCAGGTGTGCGTCATATGAGAGGCCCCGCCTTACATCTTCCGCCACAGATTTGGGGAAATTGGTCCGTGCGCAAAGCATTGTGGGGATTTTAAGACCGCGGAGTCTACTCATGTGCAGCCTCGATATTTCTCCAAACGGAGTACGCCGGGCTCGGTAGATTTCCAAGTATGCTGGAGATTGGAACAGTACTTCGGCGGCACTCGATGACGTAGTATGCTTGAAATAGTGGCTCTGAAGCAGCTTTACTCGCGATTGAGAAACACCCTTGGTTTCCTTCCAGATTGCTTCTGAGGAAATACCGGAAGTCCGTCCCTCTAACCAGTCCCCGGAACACAAACGTTCCGCCATACTACTAAATGCATTGCTCAACCCCGTTAATGAAATGAAAATACAGATGTACAAAATAAAGGCATATTCTAACTCTAAATACTTATTATATTAATGTGGTCACACATCCCAGGGGTGCCACATGTACAGACAGAGATCGAAATACCGTTTCCCACAATCCCGCATACGAAAATATATATAAAAATATGTGTACAAATATGTATATATCTATATATATATACACACAATCAACAGACACATTTTAAAGACATAAATAAATAAAAGCACAACAATCAATATATACAAAATAACAGTCACTTCAATAATTTTGAGAAATGTGCAAGACTGTCCATAGCAGTCTTAAAAGTGTCAAATAAAGTGTCTTTACAGAACCTTGCCGTTAATAATAAATCCTATTGAATTAAACCTTTACATTATTTATTTATTTCTGACAAAAATATTTTTAAAAGCTAAAACAGAGATCACACAGAGGCTAAGGATTTCTCAGAACGCTGTACACTTAGCTAAGGCTCATTGTTGACAGTACCTTGTCGATGGTGTGGATGGCAGTGGTGTAGTTGTTGAGGTAGTTGGTGTAGACTCTAAGTTTTGAGCACAGTTTCACGAGCACATCTCCAACACACTGCTCTGCGCCCCACTGCTGCAGCCGGGCTTCTAAATCCACCTGAAACGCCCTGCAGCAAACACACACACATCTGTCAGGCCATGTCTTCACAGAGGGGCGCAAACAAGAGAGTGACAAACAAATATGTGTGTGTGCGTGTACCTGTTGAGCTCCAGTATCTGTGTGACAGGGCTGAGGACCATGTGGATGTCATTGTGGCTCAGAATGGCTCTGTTGGAGTTGAGCGCTGCTGTAAGAGGCTCCTGGTACACCTTCAGCACAAAGGAGGTTTTTATGAATGAAATAAAGTTCAATTGCCTTTTTCTGCATTTAATATTATTGACAAGTTAACGGCGTACCTTCAGCACGGCGCCCAGTCTGCCCAGGTAAAGACACTCGCTGTGGTGGAGCTCTCTGGCAGCTGCCCCTCTCCAATCTAACGCTATCTAAAGATGAGAGAGAGAGAGAGAGAAATGGGTTTTTAAAACAAAGAATGCTCCATCAAACTTCACTGAAAGGATACACACCTGCGGTAGCTCAGGTATCAGGCTGAAGCATTTCTGTGAGTCATCTGCTCTTTTGTTTTTGTCTCCACTGCTCTCTTCTCCATCCTTATCATTATTCCATCTTGTCAGGAAACCAGCAAGAAACTCCAGAGGTCTGGTCTGAAGAAATAAACAAACACTTATATGGACTGTTATAATGGTTGATATGAAACGTTGTATCTTCTTAGCACTTGTTCTACTGTATTTGTGTATTACAGAGATTCCCACCTCTCTCTGTCGTGTGAGAGCAGTGAGTCCCTCTATCAGCGCCTCGTTGAGATCTCTGGACACACACAGTTCCTCGAGGCACATTTTCTCCCACAGAAAAAGACCTACAAATGAGACGTTTCCTCAGTACATTTACAGGACATCATCCATTTAAACCTGAAATTGCTCCAGCCGTGTGTGTATGAATTTGAATCTACATTCATTTGAAACCCACCAAGAGCTCTGCCCCTGGCCTCCAGGCTGAGCCGCTGTAGCTGTGGCCCCAGATGGCCCCTCAGCCCCTCCAGGGCCTCCTCCATCCACTCAGCCTGTCTGCACCAGCCCTGCAGGACGCTCTCACACACAAACTGCAGCGCCGGGGCTAATGGTCCTTGGTTTGATAGTCCGGTGCACACGCTGCCGTCAGACCATTCACTCAGGACTGGGAGAGGGGGGGATATAATAAATAACAAAATCTTTATCTATATAGCACTTTTCATACAGTAGGTGCAGCTCAAAGTGCTTTCACCTCAGATCAGATGTTAAGACCTTTTATGTATTTCTTGTGGTTTTAACCTGATGCATTTCAGTTATTTTACACTTGGTGGTGGGTACTACAGTCTCGTAGTTGTAGTCGTCTATATTTCAATCCTGGTTGATTTGGTTACCGTAGCAACAGCAGGTGCGGTTTAATAGTGTAGCAAACACCTTGAATAGCTGCTTTGTTTTTAAATTCAGGAAATCACTGTTTGATTTTTGATTGACAAATATGTACATTGCATTTCCTTTGGCTTCTTCACGTACTGTTTTGAAAACTTCCAGTTGCAAGACCCATTGGTGTCCGAACCTCCAGACCAGTCAGAGAAGAGAGGGTCTGGATGAGAGCCGCTCCTGGTGCTGAGGGAGGGAAAGAGACAGAGAAGGGAAGTCATTGAGACAGACTCAGAGAACTGTGTGTTCCTATCAGCGTCCAACCTACCACAAGCAGCTAGCGGGGAGAAGATGTCAATCCCTCCTCCTTCCTCAGCTGGTGCCACCCAGCCACTAAGTTTTTCCCAGAAATCCCTTTGATCTGGGTTTAGCAGAGTCCTCTCTGACAGAATACACCCTAAAAAGTCAAAGATTAAAAAGTTAGAGTGGTGAGTCCATGCATAATGTAAAATCAATTCAAGATTTATGATAATTAGTCTCGGGCCAACTCCTAGCCAAGGGACCAGGATAGTCATGGACTGAGTGTAGAAAAATACTATCAAAATGAAAGTATCCATGAAATGGTTTTAGCAGATGTGCTTCACAGTATCCAGAGAGATAAAGTTGGACTGGAACTCACCCTGGCAGTGTTTCCACACATTAAGATACACAGGATTATTAACTCTTACTGTGAAGCAGATGGATTTCTTCAGTTCCTCCAGGAGCAAGTAGGCCCAGTCTCTGAGCTCCCTGCCCAATGATAGCCCTCTCCACCTGGGCTAACAGAGCTGAGAGAGTCCCTCTGTGGTCGTACAGAACCACAATCACTCCTGCTTTCACACCACTCAGCAGCAGCTAGATGAAGCACAACGAGAGAGAAAGGGCAGACAGGGAGAAATACGAGATGTTCATCTTCCCACTGTGCCTTTTTCTCTTTACACACTTCATCGCCTCTCTTCTCATACCCAATAAATGGTGATTTAGGCTGTCTGACTGATAGGCTTTTATTTTTTATTTTACCTCATAGGCAGGGATTCTGTTGGAGATCAGCAGTAAGAGGACAGGATGGGTCAGATGGGTGGGAGGGACTGTGTGTGTCAGTGCAGGTCTGCTGGTAAAAGAAGACAGCGCTCCACTTGCATTGTTCAGTCTTTCACTGAAAGAGAACAGAGATGTTTGATTAGCAGCAAATAACTGCGTCACGTCTTATTACTGAAACCACCTAGACGTTGTTTGCATCCAAAGTGTCATCAGTTGTGTGAAAAAGCGTATTCATTCTTGTGTATGGCCAAAACATGTTTATGAGGCAATTGAGGGGGATCAAATATGTCACAACCAGTGTGTAGTGTAGACCCTCACCTGGAAGGACTGCAGGTCTGGAATCTGTCCCGGCTCGGAGCAGCAGACATGGTCTGTCCTCTGTCCAGGCTCAGACAGAGGCTGGGGGACCCTACAGTCCTCGGGGGCCAGGAGAGTGAGGGCCAAGAGCTAGATGTTATTCCAGAGCTGGGCCTCCCTGTCTGGGTACTTCCTCCTCTGGCTGCTCCTGGCTTTGTGTAGCTGCCCCAGGCTCTCCTGGTGCTCATAGACTGTCCTGCAAATGTCACAGATATAAACACTGGTAGGAGTTTTCTGAGATAACTGAAGCCATTCCTACTTAGTAGTTTTGTGATAAGGCAATGTATCTTGTTTGTTCAGCTTCATCCAGAGTCAAAATGATAGTTTGATTACAGCAGATTTTTCTCTTTTCTACTTACTCTTATCCTCCTGTAGCTTGTCTCTGATCATTTGCCTGATCCTCCTCTCCTTCCTCCTCTCCTCCTCCTCCTCTGTCATCAATGTGCTTTGTTGGTTAAGGGTCCCATACTGCTCGGCTGCCTCCCGTGGAGTGAGCCAGTCGAGGGTGGAGACGCAGGAGACGTAGTGGTTCTTCCACGCTCCATATTCTTTCTCTGCTGGAGTGTAGGGAAGGAACCAGCCTCTTGTGATGCAGCGGCTCGCCCACAGACAGTCCTGGGCAGGAAGAGACCGAATCAAAAGAAATATGAATAAAGTCTAAATAAAAGTTTTAAATAAGTTGTCTGGTTCTGGGTCTCCCACCTGCTCAGAAAGCATTCTCCAGTGCCAGCTGACCTGGGCAGCAGAGCAGAGGTCACGAGGGGACAGAAATGACATCACGTACAGGGACAGGAAGCGTGGCAACACCGCCGTGAAGTCCACTTGTGTCACAGGAAGCGTCTCCATCAGAAGATCTCTGCAGTACCTGCTCACATTGTCAGAGGTTCATTTTAAAAATCACAATCTTTGGTTTCCATCTGAACAAAAGTAAAGAAATCATATAGCCCCAAAGTAAAGCAACTGAGAAGAGGAAGACCTTACTTGAGCTGTGACTTGGTGCCACGTGTGAGCAGAGAGTGCAACAGGTGTTTCCTCTGTCTGTCAGTCCACAGGTCAAACCAGTGCAGCACAAGGGTCATCCTCTCCTCAAATAACTAGGGAAAAGGACATCAACAAAGTTGGTCAGTGAAAGAATACATGGAAGGTAAACCTCATTGCATAAGAGTCTGACTGCTCTGCCAAAAGCTACAAAACTGCTCTCCAAAACACTGATGAAGTCTGCAGGAATAACGAGAACAAAGAGTTGGGTTGATTATTTATAAATATATATATAATTTCTGTATTGCTCATGGTCAATAGGTAAAGTGATTATGTAATTAAATCCCTTAGTTCAAGAAAAAAAGCTTGCTGTATGTGAACCATTTTTTCTACCCAAATACATGAAATGGTAAAAAATGTTAAATTAAGTAGGAATGTTGCTTCAGCAGTTAACTATTTCGTGTTAGCATTATTGATAACACGAAAAATATAGTTGTTAAATCCTTAAAAACCACATGCTGCATGCAAGTGTAATAATTTGACGATTACTGCCATCTGGTGGCTATAATTAAAATAAATCATAAAGTTTATTGAGCTATGTTTTTTTCCGGTTTTTACCTGCAGGTTGCTGCTCTGGTTGTTCAGGGGGGTCCAGCAGCTGAGGCGCGTGTCAGAGCGCGTGCTGCGGACCTGCTCATAGTCCGTCCCGCTGAGCTGCCACCGCTTCACCGAGTGAGGACTCGACCCCATGTTCTCACCCAGGATTACCCGCTTTGAGAAAACGCCTGGACTTCTGTTTAAGTGTGCAAACTCCTATTCAATGCCAGATTTAACTCCCTTAAAAAACGGGAGCTGAGTACCAGGCTGCCATTGCCCCACTGCTCCCTGTAACCTTAGAGACGCGTCAACAATAAGGATGCGCACATTCCTTCACAGGACAAAGGCACATGATCATTATGAAGAAAACAGACGATATTCTGCAAGTCAATAACATTGTAAATTCCTGTTTTAAACTGATTTGATAATGACTTTATGAATGTAGAATATGTAAGGAATAAGAGGACTTTTCACAAGCAAATTATGCAACTTAAAAAATGTAAAAAATAATCTACAATATGCTTAAAACTAATCACATTATCATTATAATAAGCATACCTTAGATTCATGCACGAATTAAAAAAATGTCATACCCACAACCCATACCACATGATGACTTTATGGGTAAATTGCACGTGTATGAAAAAAAAACCTGAAAAATAAAGGATAACATTTACAAAAGTGTGATACAAATTCATTTTGGCTTACGTTTCCCTTTTCCAACTATCTCTTCACTTACCGTTTGAATGGAATCTTTTCTCCCTTTTTCAATGTTTTTAAATGAATGCTTTAAATGCTACAGCCAGAAGATTCAGACAACACATTTATTGGGTCAATAAAAGTCAAACCACAAAACAGTTAAAGCAGTAAAACACTTCTGAATAATCCCACATCCCCTAACAACACTGATTAAAATAAAGATTTACAATCAAAGCAGCATCAAATGATCTTTAAAACCACACAATCCAAACCCGCTCTATGTAAGTTGATTAGAAGGTAAGAACCAATAAGGCAAAAATGATGAAATGAAAAACATTAAGGCATGGTTGTGATGACAACATTTGGATAACTTAGTATTTTCCAGCATCACACCAATGAAAATGTGCAGTGTGTTCCGCGTATTGCATGGATATGTGCAAATATATATTCAACACTGAACAAGGTGTTGTAGTAGATATCAGGCTACTCATATGTAGCTAGAAATCATATGCAAAATCACTAACTTGGGTTATTTTCTTACAAATAACATACGGTGCAGTCAACATGGTCAGAATCTACTGTGCATTTATATGTCATTTTAAATGTTATCAATTTAACTATAACTAATTAGGATACATTTGTAGGTTTTTGCTGTGTCTCTGATTAGATAAAAGCTTGTGTTTAAAGCCGCTCTATGGGAAATAGTTCAAAACAAGAATTTCTGTATACATATATTGATAAGTTAATGTCTAGGTCCTAAGTTTGTGAGTGACACTGACCTGTGACAAAGATAAGACAAAGTGCAACAGAGTAAGTTTACATATATCTGAAAAGTGCTAAAGGAGCAAGTTTGCAGTCAGTTCACATTTAACAAAGCTGATTAACACTTTGAAGGAATTAATCAACTTTTGGACCAAACAAGGTGAATGATTAATATCAATATCACTTTGGCTAGCAATGTATTGCAAATCCGGACAGTGCGGATGTGAGTGAACTGGCTACAACTTGACTTTAAAACTGGCCAAGACAGGGATGCACCAAATACCAAAAAGTGTAAAGTATACTGTCAGATAGTAATGTAAAGTCCCCAAGATCTTAAACCTCACTAAATATAACACTGACTATACGAGAAACAGTTTAGGATTCATCAGAAAAGGTGCTGAAATCAAATCATGTCTATTGTTAGCATCCAAAAATAAGTGCATCCCTGTTGTGACATCTTACATCCAGACGCTGGTGAACAGCTGTGGTGCCATTTCTGCCACAATACTCGAGAGAAGAAGTGCATCAAGCTGGCTTCAGACGGGGTTATGAGAAGGGGTTTCTATACTGGCAGTCCTCGGGATCTCTTGGGAGTCGGCTAGATTGAGTTTCTGACTGGAGAAGTAGGTTAAAGGCAAAAAGCTTCAGGGAATACGAGGTATTTAACAATGAAGAAATCTAAAGACAAAGAGGTTTATCTTTCACTTAACAACCTTCTAAAAGAAAACTACTATGATGCAGGAAGACCGGTGAATGTTAGATTTAAAAGGATACATGGAAGAACTCAGCTCCTCAAGCTGTGGAGAAAGAGAACATTTTGTTAAACATGCAATCGTTGGTCATGATGATGTAAAGGAATGTATATACTTAATCCTGCGACAAGTAGCTTACTAAAATCTTAAAGAGTTTAACACACAGGAGGATAATAAGCAGCTAAATCTGTTCTGCGATGTTGAGTCATCGTATAAAATCAAGCTTTATCCAGGACATAATGTAACAGCACAATGTGTACAAAGGGCCACTTTATTAAATAATTATAGGCCCATCTCTAAATTATCAGTTTTGGCTAAGGTTCTTGAACGCCTAGTGAGTGAGCAGGTAAAGGCGTTTTTATGTACAAATGACATCCTGTCTAAACATCAGTCAGGCTTCAGAAAGCAACATAGCACCATCACTGCCACAATGAAAGTGGTGAATGATGTGGCGAGTATTTTAGATAATAAGCAGAGTTGTGCAGCTCTATTTATTGACCTTTCCAAAGCGTTTGATACCGTCGATCATCGCATCTTAAAGCAGAGGCTACTCAGTATTGGCATATCCAGCCATGCAGTGGGGTGGTTTGTGAACTACCTCTCTGAAAGGTCCCAATGTGTTCATTTTGATGGGCTGTCTGAGTGGTTAAACATTACTAATGGTGTTCCTCAAGGTTCTGTTTTAGGTCCACTTTTATTCTCCATCTACATCAATAGTTTAGGTGAAAATGTCGATGGAGCGACCTTACATTTTTATGCGGACGATACCGTTATGTACTGTGCAGGTCCCTCCATTAAGGAGGCTGTTGTTGAATTGCAAGCTGTTTTTAACATTATTCAGACTCAGCTCTCTGAACTAAAGCTTCTTTTAAATGTTGATAAAACCAAGGTAATGCTCTTTTCAAAAGCTAAAAAGACACCAGAGCCTGTTTTAGATATTGTAACTACGCAAGGAATAAAACTTGAAGTGGTTGCCTGTTACAAATAACTTGGTATCTGGCTTGATGACCGTCTCACTTTTAACCGTCATGTCAAAAACTTGCTTAAAAAAACTGAGGGTTAGGCTAGGTTTCTTCTACAGGAACAAGTCCTGTTTCTCGCTCGAGGCCAGAAAAAGGCTAGTCACTGTGACCTTTTTACCTGTGCTGGACTATGGTGATTTGATTGATATGAATGCGGAAGCTGTTGGTACCTGTTCATGTGGATAGTTATGTAAATTGTAATCCCTGTAATGATACTGTATGATGTCCTTTTGTTGTTCGGTTTATGTTTTTAATGTTTCATGTGGAACCTACTTGAGCAGGTCTCCCTTGAAAAAGAGATCAATGGGATACAACCTGGATAAATAAAGGTTTGAAATAAAATGAAATGAAAATGTACAAGCAGAGTTGGGTGTAATTCAGTAATCACACTACAGTTACTAACATTGCCCCGACACGCGTTACTTCGTTACTTTTATAAAATCAGTCATAATCACACTGACAGACAAGAGGGGTTTCCGCCGCAGGTTTATATGTACGTAATCTGCGCGACTTGCGCGTCCACATCTCCACGTGCAGTGCTGCATAAACATGGCAGAGTCAGCGATAACTTTCGAGGGGTGGAGGTATGCCCATTATTTTGAGTTCGTCCGAAGAATAGACAGGAATGTGACGGTGAGGTGCAAACTGTGTCCAGGCCAGAAGCTGTTATCCACTGCTGCAAACACCACGTCAAACCTCAACAAACACCTGCAAAGAACACATGCTAAGGTGAAGCTAATAGCTAAGGACCCCCGAACCCAGAGTGAGGATGTTGTGAGTGCGCCGCCGCCGAATCCGAAGCAGCAACAATTACCGGTAACCAAAGCAGAGATGGACAGGCTTGTAGCATCCTTCATAGTAGAGGTAATGTTGCCCATTTGCACAGTGGAATCACCATCGCATCGTTCAGAGATATACTGCGCAAAAATACAGATAGCAGGAGACAGAGGACAGCCATGGTCAGAGCTATCTGGATCAGTCTTATGCGACAATGGAAACTGAACTAAAGAGAACATTTGAAACTTTAGCAGTCTGCGTGATCTGCCTGTAGGGAGGGGCGGGCCGGCCCTGCGAGTAAAGTAACGAGTAAAGTAACGAGTAAAGTAACGAGTAAAGTAACGAGTAAAGTAACGAGTAACTTTATGTAGAGAGTAACGAAGTAGTGTAATATATTACTTTTTTTTTAAAGTAATATGTAATATATTACTTTTTTTTTAGTAACGACCCCATCTCTGTGTACAAGGTATTTCCAGCAATTCAGGAAAACGACTATAAATCTTAAAATAATTTAAAACATATTATGCTATTACAGTCTTACATTAAGAAGTAGTTTGTCCATGTTGGTGTCGCAGGCCACCTTCCTCTGGTCCTCTGGCATTTCATCCACCTCACCGTAGAGGTCAAAATGCAAACGGGCCAGTTTCTCCTGCATTTCTCTCACATGCTCCATCTGGCCAATGGAGCACTCATTGCCTGAAAACAACCACACATGTTAATGAATTTACATCAGGTATTAAAGGATTTAAAAGGACATCTGGGTCTAAGACACCACTAGATGTCTCTCTGAGATTCTACAGTTTTGTTTATATCTCAAGACATGTGTGTGAAGTGTCCCTTTGAAGTCCGAATTACCAAATGCTTGTAGTTTCCCTGAGTGGAAGTCATTGAGCAGACTGAGCAGGCCATTCTCCATCTCCTGTACGTCTGACACGTCAGTCAGAAAGGAGTGCTGGATGATAGGTGCTGCATGCCCCTGCTTCTGGTTAGATTTACCACCTACACCTGGGTGCCTGGGTTTGTCTCTTACTCCCCTGGAAAAAGATACAAACAAATAGTTACAGTTTGTGCCACAGATCAGACTAGCAACCTCACATACTGTCATTGTGTATATCTGATGAAGATTATATAAAATGCTACCTCCTAGTTTTGCTCTTTTGGCTGGAGTGAGTCCCTGCGTTATGGCTGGAGCCGACCTGCCGTCCCCCGGAGGTAGCACTGCTCTTCCGGCCAGTGCCACTGGTCGGAGCCGGTGTGTTGGTGGATA